GGGGAGGGTGAGCATATTTTAAGGTACTTGTTTTACGTTTACTTTTCTCTATAGATGAAACAAATAAATGTACCATCATTACAATCATCATCATCATTTTCCTCATCATCATCATCATCATCATCATCATCATCATCATCATCATCATCATCATCATCATCAGTATCAGTATTTTCTAATGTTCCTGATGAAGCCCATAGAGGGCGAAACGGTTTGAACGTATTTTAAAATATTTTGGAAATCCTACCAAGTCTCAGTATCAGAATCAACATCATCATCATCATCACTGACCAAACAATTCCCCCTTTTCTTATTTTGTTTTTCTTGAAGCATAACATGTTAGAACTTTTTTACGTAACCTACAAATGTCGGCACCGAAATCAGGACAGGAAACCACCCCCCTCCCCCCGCCACCATACCACCATAAAACCCCAATTAATTTCAAGATCTGAAAAACCCACTCTGAATCGGAACAACTATGGGGGTAAATGAAAGATTCGGTAAGGGAAGCTGCTGCAGAAACTGCCTCCAAAAGCTAAGAAAACTAATTACATTTTTAAAATAGATAAATAACTCAGGATATATTAGAACGTATGGAAGAGAGAAGGGGCGGACGAAATCAAATGTGGGAAAAGTACATCTAAAGGAAGTTTTTTTTTAATGCAAAGAAGAAAAAGAAAAATGGATAAATGATCAGTGTCAACAAATAGAGATAAACCAAAACAAAGACAACAAATACATGCATTCCATCTTCTTCTTCTCGATCGCATCGGTATCTGTCATAAATTGGGCCGTCCTGCTCAGTTCATCTGGCGGCCCGTATAGCTTCTCTTGTAGCGTCAGTGGGGTTTGGCCACGTTTCCTGTCTCAGGGCCCTGTGTGTCTTGCAGTGCTGAAGGGTGTGTTCAACAGTTTGGTCCGCCTCTCCACACTGGCATTTTGGTGATTGTACTAGTTTAAAACATTTGTACATATGTTGTACATATCAGGAAACGACAAATGCAGTTTTTGGGACACCTGAATAGACATAAGGGTCTTGAACATCTAGCTCTCACTGGCAAAATTGAGGGCAGGCGAGGCAGGGGTAGGCCCAGAACAACATACTTAGGGAATCTAAACAAATGGGTAACAGGGAAAAATCAGGGAAACGTAGCTTTTCTGAGAGCATCCGAGCAAAGGAATGAATGGAAAATCATGATCGCCGATGTCTGTCGCAGATCTGGCACTGGATGATGATGATGATGATGACATATGTTGTCTCAGTCTTGTGTGTTGTGTCCTTAGTCTGAAGATAATCACTTGTTCTTGGCGGGACAGCTCATGGTAGTTATCTGGTGTCTGAGGTGCTTTAAATAGTGTATTTATAATAGTTTTTATTTCTGTGTAGTTAACGCTGTTGTCTGGTTGCTCTTTTTGTGCTCCTAGTTTGGCCATCCTGTCTGCCTGCTCATTTCCCAAGACACTGCAGCATGATCCTCAGACATGGGATGTCCTCAATTTCTTTTCGTAGCCTTGGTAGTTTGCCGGAAGTGATTGCCTGCAGTACTGACATGGCATCTGTTAGGAATACTACTTGGCTTTGGGGGTCTACCACATTCTTGATGATGTTTGCTGCATGTACTTGAGCCTCCGTCTCTGCCTTGTAGTTTGTACAATTTCGCCCTGTTGGGACTGCCTCTGCTTGTCGTCGTCCATTTGGGAACTGTACGTACACTCCGGCTCCTCCTCTTTTCACAGCATCAGTGGCAGATCCGTCTGTATAGATCCTTATCCATGCTTCTCGTGGGTATCTTTCTTCAAGCATGGACAGGGTGAGGGACTTCTTGCTCAGGTCGCTGTGGTCATCTTTTGTGGTGAACATAGGAATGGACGTGTGTATAGATATGTTTGTGTTTTTCTTTTCCCATGATGGTGCCTCTGGGGTGTGATTCAGCATGTTGACTGTGGCTGGTAGATGGTCCTGTAGGGATCTTTGGATTTTTCTGCTTTCTTTGATGAAGTTGGATCTTTTGAGTCTTGCGGTGTTTGATCTCGCTGTTCTCGTGTGCAGTATATGATCCTCCATAGCTGTGGCCTTGGTGTACTGTATGAGGGCCTTGCATTCCCACATGCATTCCAAAATCAAAGAAGTAAGTGGGATAAAAGGATGCTCAAATGTAAGATAAATTAAATCAATAGAAGGAGATGTTTTGATGGAGAAAGGGGTTGTCTTTAATAGATGACCAGACTACATATAGAAAAACTTTTAAAAAAATAATAGAGAAGATAAACTGGTAAAGAAGGAAGAAAAAATCGACCACCAATACAAAGAGTAGAAGTACAACGCTGCTATCAGGAAAACGAAAGAAGTAGAAGCCACAAGGCCAGATAATTTCCCAGTTGAAGTGATTGTCACACTAGAAGAATTAAGCACTTAGATAACAACAGAGCTCTTAAATTCTGTCTATGACAGGGGTGAGATTCCAGAAGATATGGACAGGGACAAACTGAGCTGAGAAGGGTTCAACATCCCAGCAAAAAGTCTGAGCCGCACTGAGGAATCGAACTCGGGTCTCCTGCGGTGCGACAGAGAAGTGCTAACCGCCCCACCACTGAAGTCGGTGAAATTATAAAAACAGTATTGAGTAAATTAAAGTAAAATATAGTAAAATGAAATAAAATAAAAT